CTGTTTCATCTGGATACCCAGTTGTTGCCTGGAATCTTAAAAACATAACTACATTGGCCAGGCAGTCGTGGTTGATCTGTTTCATTGGAGGCTGTCTGAACTGGTGGGAAGTGCAAGCCGTGCTCTGGGACTCTGGTCTGTGGTTCTGTCATATGAACTAACCGTCATGCACATTATGTTCTATGTATGCGAAGATAATGAGAGGCCGAGGTCCATCACACTGTGCCAGGGAAACGGGCACATCTGTCAGCCCTATGTGCACCAACTCAGACAACCCCCATGCCTACAATGTTCACATCTACTATAAATTCCCAGGAGTGGGATAGAACATTCTGGATTAATGAACTCTAGGCCTCATGGAAGCAATCTATGGGAAGGCTCTCTTGGCTCTGGCCCCATGTTTTTCTACTGAACACTTCTGCCACCTTCCTTTACAAACCACATCCTCCAGACCAAGGAGACCAGCAATTAAGCACCATTTACAGAAAATATGGTAAAGAAGAAAAATAAAATTTAAAAATGAAATAGGCTTTTTTGAAAGATATAAATGCAAACAAAGTTCATGAAAATTCCTTCTCAAGCAATGCAATTGACCTAAGAGTTCAGGTATCTTTGATCAGTAATCACTAAACAGCAAATGTCCAATATTGATGAAGAAAATCTAGACCTAATCTAGCTAGAAAACTTGAACACAAAATGGACACAGTCCCTACTAGAATACATACAAATATTAACATAGAAGGAATCAGCCAAGAACATACATTAACACAAATTCTGGAAAGATCTGACAGCTTTAAGCAGAGATGCCAAAATCTGATACCTCAAATAATTTCTAATATAAGAATCTGGACTGCTGCAAATAGATGCAGTGACTCAAGCATATACATTTCCAAGTTATAAGTGTTTGAGACATTCCAGATGTGTAATGGTGCAATGACTGGGGAGTAGTGTGGGCCAGTGTGGAAAATCTTGAAGGTGGTGAGATCTGATGGAAACACTAAAGGAAAGAAAGCAAATGTGACAAAAGTTCATAGGTTGGTGAAGAAAAGGAAAAAATAGAAGAGTGTGAGTGACTGGCCAGGTAGTGGCAAGCACAGCTGACATTTCTATCAGACCAACTTCTCTCTCCCCTCTGTGCCCACCCAAGGTGGGTAGGATGCCCGTGGCCCACCAGCAAACCTGGTCAAAGCTTGAGTTTGCATCAGCCCAGAAAGGGGCTGCCTAGAGGAGGTGTCATTGGAAATTTGTCGACCTGAGTGGGCTCCTTTGTAGCCTAGTTTGAGAGCACCATCATTCATGTGCTATTGAACTCTTAACTCATTTCCTCTGCCTTGAATTTCACTTTTTTAATTCTATACACAGTAACTATTTGACTTACACTTCCTTGAATATTATTTTGCCATCTTTGGTCAAGAATTGATAGTGGCAAAAAAAAACACAAAAAAGAATTGATAGTGGCTTTCGTTGCTCGTAATGAGATCCAGAATTTCAACAAGTTATCATTAATTGTGCCTACCACCTTCTATGTTAACCCGTAACTCAGATACTCTTTACCCACCTAGCCAGTCACCCACACACACAACTTCCTCATCCTCTCATGCTTACTTCCTGTTACTCCCTGTCCCCTGTTTTGTCTCTTTTCTTTGCTCTGATCATCAATGTCTCACTTGAAACCCGATGGTTCAGCTGAGTGGCCTCGTTGGTGGAATATTGGAGAAGGACCTGAGAAACTATACTACTCAGTAGTGGCCAATGGAAGTTTATTCAAACTAATCTCCTCCAGAAACTTCCTGAGAGAGCTGATTTCATTTCTTTGATCCTCCTCCTTTTCACAATCAATAAGCGCAGTTAAAACAATAGTAGTTTGAACATCATTTAGCTAATATTAAAAGACTTCAAAATTTCTTTTGGTGGAAACTAAAATACTTTTCTCATAACTAATGAAATTCCAACGAATATTAAGGACCGAGAATAATTTTGGTCACTGTTGTATGCACACATTTTCCCCCTGATCCTTGCCCCTGTGGTCTAGACAAATTTCAAATGCAGAATAGTCAGTCTGAAACTATTTCCTGCTTCTTAGGTCCTGAGAGCCAAGAACAGGAGACAAGTATTTCTTTTAATTTAACAAAGAAAGTCCATAGTAAATTCTGGTATAACTCATGCTTCTGCCACTTTCTCTTTCTTCAAAACAAATCAAGGCCTGGCTATATAACATATAGGTTGACATTGCATCATCTTTTGGGTGACCTATGAGTACCCGGTACTTGTCAAAATATGAACACAGGCAGACAGATGTCAAGGAAGAGCCTCGTGTGTGTGTGGAATATGAGTCCTGCTATAAAGAAGTGGATGGAGGTAACAAAGGATGCAGAGCAGTTTATTAAAAATTGTGTCGCAATCACCTTTCCCTTGACAGTTGAGATAAATTAAATCTGCTCTACATCTTACACCTGTCTCTCTGCTTTTAGCTCTACATTGATTTTTGACTAAACAGCCTCAAGCTTTGAAATAATCAAATTGCACCAGAGAAAATACATGCGCTCTAGTTTTGCTTTCCATCTGATTTTTAATATTCAATACATACTTATGATCATTTTAAAAGAGAATTAGACCAAAGCATACAGTCAACAGCTGTCATCTTCTGTCAATGATAGCTGTTGACTAATGGGTCCCATTGACATTCTTTCAACCTGCCCCTGAATCTCAGAAAGCCATTCTGTGGGTTTTCAAAACAAATGGACACTAACAATGCTGCCCATTACATTCAGTTGCTTTCATATTCAACAGTGTTTACAGCTTCTGTACAAAGAAAATAAATCATTTTGTGCAAGAAACTTAGTCATGTTTTGACAAGAGAAAGATGTTTTTTAAAATTAGTAAGCGTTAAATAACTATACCTCCTAAAAATCTATTACCTCCATTTTCTCTATGATTTAAGATGTTTAAAATCACTTTTTCACATATAATGGACAAGATCTTATTTCATAGGTGTTTGAAAATGGTTCTTTATGACATTTTTCTGAATAGACCATTTTCTTGCCTTGGTCCTGAAAGAAGATTAGTGACTATGCTTAGTCTTTCTTTTATGTGGCCAGGTTTAAAAAACACTTCTGTAATGCAAGGTTATTTTTAGGTAAGAAATAGTGTCTATATGTGTCTAAAGGAATGGAGTCAACATTTAAAGTGAAGAATCTCAGTTAATTTTCTCTTCCAAATTGGTTCATCAACCTTGTTTTGCATCAAGTTCTGAAGAGAATGTGCATCCCACATCCCCACCCTACCCCCACCCCTGTCATTAAGAGGAGCAAAGGCAGCTTGATGTGATCCAAGGTGACTCTGTAGACCAGGGGTGGGGAACCTTTTTTCTGCCAAGGGCCATTTGAATATTTATAACATCACTCACAGACCATACAAAATCATCAACTCAAAAATTAGCCTGCTATATTTGGTCAAACATTTAATTAACTCACCCCTAATGCCTTGGCAGGGCCAGACCAAATGATTTCTCGAGCCTTATACACAGCCCACAGGCCAGACGTTCCCCACCCCTGCTGTAGACAGAGGGCTGTCCTCTGAGAAATGTCCTGCTTGGCACACACAGGCCATTGTGTACACAAAGCCTTTCATCTTCCTTCCCAGGGCAGGAAGAAACAGCGGGTTGCAGCGTAAACTGTCCATAAAGGGACAGCCAAATCCTAAGAAGCCATGGCTTTAAAAGTCTACACACAAGCAAGGCACATGGGCTTCCTGGAAGCAGATGACAGCAAAGAAGAAAGAAAGATGGCTGGCTGGAAGGAAGAAAGGAAAGAAAGGAGGGAGGGAGG